GGTATGAAGTTTCAGCCTGCAATCTGGTTTTAACAACATCCAAGGGGTAGCAACAAACCCAGCTGGCAACTCCTGCTAGCCCTCCTGCCATCAACATTGTCTGCAAGCTCTCTTGGCCGGTGCTTCTGCAGCCCGGGTGAAGCTTCTCTCTCATATACTCATAAGTCCAGAAGTAGAAGCAATGAGAAGGTGCATCCCTCAGAACAGTGATGGTTAGACCTCTATATAATCCCCTTAAGCCTTCTGCTTTCATTATGCTCTTGGCAACATCTACAGGCCCTTTGTGGGACTGCAGTTTATGGGGTTTCGATTTTGCATGGCTTTGATCATTGGTTTGCAGTTGAAGCCGGATTTTTATAAGCTCTACAGGGCTGAGAATTAGGCTCTGTATAGCACCTGTACCAAATCCTCCTAGAGCAACACCTTTGTAAGAAGGAGGGTCTTTGGGGGATAAAGATGAGTCGAATGCTCGAGAGAGGATGGCGTATATCTGGAAAACCATGGCGTTCTGCAAGGCACAAAGAATTTGTCAGCACGGGGGTGAAATGATCCCAACTCTTGCAAAACTGTTGCACATCAATTTGATGATGTGGCTGGTTTATGCTTTGGTCAACAATTTTTATATTGTTACTTATAATGCAAGCAATTGTGCATTTCAGTTTCTACTTTATAACTGCAAAGTTGAATTTCAAAGCTGTTTACCAGCAATTGAAATGCATCCATTTCAGTCACTACAGAATTGTAAGAATTACTGTTCTTTTGTGTTTGTGAAAATATATTTGAACAAGAACAGTATTAAAATGTGAGTAGATAAGTTCAATGTATTATGTATATATATATGGTCCCTATATAGATAGTGACACTCCAAAAGAGACGCAAAAAGCAATTCCCATGATTTCAAAAAGAGTTTTCAAATGGTATACTGACATTACATAAAATGGCGAAACGTACCATCCACCCCACCAACCACTCTCCCACCATCATCCTCACAAAAAGACTAAAACTTTATTGCGAACACGTAAGCAGCAATTAGGATTTGAGTGACTCATAATAGGAAGAAATCTTTAGAAACAAACATGCTTTGTTTTGTTCAGTACTTCTCTTTTGATAAATTTTTTTAAGGGTGAGTTACATTTTTCACAGTTGATGTCTTTCAAAAATATATTGGTACAAACAATCCTTGAAGTTACGAATCTTTGTACTATTGGCTCTTCTGTCAGTCTGATTGTTAAATTAATCTTTGTTTTTTATAACGTAACACTCAATTGACACATTTTTCTTACATGAACAATGGACCGATGACGCGTAAATTGGGTTGGTTGTCCAGCCATAACTACAGTGGCAAGACCATAGTAGTGAGGTCATGCTCAAAGCATCTCCAAGGGAAGAGGCAAAAGAGTAGGCAAACCTCATTTGAGCTACATCAGCATTTTCATGCTCAAAGGGAAGAGGCAAATGGGTGCCTACTCTCCCCAACAAAGCAATATTGCCTACTTCAAAGTGGAGAGGTATATTGGGCTCCACTTGCTTTTTATAATAAACTACCATCTTCACTCTCTCACCTACTTTCTATAAAATATAATAGTAAAAGTAAAAGATAAAAATAAATAATATAATAATGGTTTGTAGACTCGTATTGCCTAGTCCTTTGGAGTGACCAATCTTTTTCATGAAGCAAATGAATAGGCAACATGCCCACCTAGGTTGTTATATTACAATCTTTCCTATTTCATTTGGGTAAAAGTTTTAGCTGGGAGTGAAAAATGTATGTGGGTGACTAGTGTGAAGAATGGATAGTCATCACTGTTTTCAATACATTTGGGGATATAAGGTTCTATTTCTAAATCCTCCCATTACTAATTTTAAAAAAAAAATTAAAAAAAAAAGATGTTCTAATTGATCTTCCTATGCAGCTAAGGATCAACATAAACATCCGCATAAAAATAAAATCTTGTGATCAACATAAAGAAACAGAAAGAATATATTGAAACAAAATTGATGAATTTACAACAAAACAGAGTTTAAAGAAAAAGAACCTGAAAAGTGACAGATGCCAAGGGTGCAGCCATGCCTCTGTAGAGGGCAGTAGGGCCTTGGGCAGAGACGATATTGCGTAGGATGCTGAAGGCAGAGGAACCGGAGGGTGAACTCTGTTGCCAGACGCGGAGAGTGTCAAGGGGATAACCAGAGACTACACCAGCCATGCCTCCAATGCCTCCAGCCACAAACTCTCTTCCCCAACTGTTTGCAAGAAACTCTGGCCAGAAATCCATTTTCCCATTCACCAAACACCTCAGATTCCACCACCTTATTTTCTTCTGATCAAAACCCAATTCTTGATTTTCCTTGCAAAGCCACCAAACTCCAAATCTAGGCTCAAATTATAGGATCTGTGTCTCTGTGTTTGTGTGTGTTAAAAGTTCCAAACTTTATAACTTTTGTGTGTGTGGCTCCTCTGCTTTCTCTCAAATTCAGCTGGAAATAACCAATTTAGATACAAAAGTATATTCAATTCTAAAAAGGGTACTTGGATTTCCTTTCTGGATTCTCTGCTTTCTATATGCAGCAGCAGCAACAGCAAAAACAACAAGAGCAACAAAAAAAAAACTCTTTTTTCTCACTTGCTGCAAAGAATTAATATGCCACAAAAGTGTTTATCTTTCTCTATGCCTGAGGGAAACAGAACCAAATCCTTATGCTCTCTCAATTTCCTCACCTTCTGGACCAAGAACTTTTCTCTCTTTGATTTCCACAAGGGAACGAAACAATAGCCACCGGTTGCCAATTTGTGGGGTGTTGCCTAAGCCTAGCAGAGGAAACGGCCAATGCTCTCTTTTCAAAGAGGCAGTGAGGGGCTGCCATCTGTACCAATGGGTAGTGCACAAGTGGCAGCTGAGTCTTGTTTGAGTGCTTTCAGCCTAGTGTCATTAAGCAACCAACTTCTTCTGTGGGATGGTGATTCACAACCCAATCTAACCATTTTCAGTGGTCGGCTGATGCAGCAAGAAAGAAAATGATGAAACCAGAAAAAAAAAGATCTGGCTGATGATAGTTCATGGGTTTCTATAATATATAACATGTGAAAAGTTTACAGAAATTGCACAAGTGGGGTGTACGAATGTTTGGCTTTATGTGCCAATTGCCAGAGTGTTTGGTTTTGTAATGAGGAAAGTTTGCAAATTCATACACGTTTGTTTGTTTGTTTGTTAGGCAGAAGAAGGAGACACCACATCCATTTGTTGCTGCCATTGTATAATGCATAAACAGTCAATCAATCAGTCATGCTGCTTATAATATAATCATATCATCCGGATCAGAAACGTCACAGATTTCTTTTCAATGTTTTGTTGTTTGTGAATCATGATACGTGATCATATGGGAATCCCATGTAGGAATGATACTAATGATATGTTTAGTTGCTTGAATAAATAAATAAATAAAGCACACAAAAAGGCTTGTAGAGTATTTACTCATGCACCCGAGATCCTAGGTTCAATTCCCTCCACCCCATTATCGTTTGTATCAAAAAGAAAAACACACTCATATGTTGGTAAACAAAGGAAAATTATTATATGGATTGGAATAAGTTCGATACATATTTCAGGTAAATAAACATATCATAAAACAAACAAATACCAGTTCAAGTAATTTAACAGTGATGTTGCAGCTCCTTACAGCTGTTATAAATTGATGCAGAGTGTTTGTAGTTTTTTTATTTATTGGATTATTCGCAGCAATAGTCCCTCAACTATACCCCAAGTTACACTTTGGTCACTCAACTCAAATATTAGTTGCAGAGGTCACTTAATTAGGTGTTTTGTTGCACCGTTAGTCCTACCGTCAAGTCTCTCTAACGCCTAATTGAGTGACCAAAATGTAACTCCGAGTATAGTTGAGGAATCATTGCTACAAATAATCTTAACTGAAAAGTTACATTTGCCCATCAATAATCTAAGAGATGCTTGCCACATCATCATTTAAACAGAAAAAGTAACAGACCTGACAGTAGGACTAACGGTGCAACAAAACACCTAATTGAGTGACCTCTGCAACTAATATTTGAGCTGAGTGACCAAAGTGTAATTTGGGGTATAATTGAGGGACCGTTGCTGCGAATAACCCTTATTTATTTTATCATGTGTGGAGTTTTTGCAGAGTTTTGTTGTTTTCTATTAGTCATTTAATAAGGTTTTTTTCTTTTTGGGACTGAGGTGGTTCATAAAGTGAATGATCAACAATGGACATCAAGTTGTAAAATATGATTTGTAAAACTTTGTAGAACAAACTGTACTGCTCTTAGAGACAATTACAATATCAAATATACGACCTGAAAGGCTGTGCTCAATAGGGCAGGCTTGGATTGGATGAATAACTTGGCCTAAATATGAGAAGAAAAAACAAATCTTGTAACGAGGATAGGCATTATCAATTTTCGGGCCTAGTGGTCATTAAATTAGTGAGAAAAAAAGTTTTATTCTTTCTCCTTGAGTGTTCAAAACTTTTATTTTTTTTTCTTTTTGTTGTGGCTGGTGGTGAGGGTGAGGGTCGTTTTGCTGGGAAGAGGGTGAAGTTGGTGCTGTTTTGCCCATTATAAAGAACATGAAAAATACTATTTTGCTCATAAAATGTAACAACATCAGCAATGGTACTAACAAAAGTGAAATTGCGGAACTACATCAACCATTTTGCGAATTCAATACCAAAATGTGAATCGGTTACAAATTAGGGACTATTGCTCCTAAAAACCCTAATAGAAAAATAATATGTGCCTTCCCAATCACCAACATTTCCACCGGCCAAAGATTTTCTACCACAAAAGTTTATCTTAAAAATTCTTCAAAAAAAGCATAAGTCATGGGATGAGGCCCAAAATTCATAGCCCACAATGTGCTAGAGGCCTATTGACCCACGACTTGCAAGTCGGGTCATAGGCCATACATTTTGTTCAAGGGCTAACCCAATTCGACTTATAACTAAGCATATGTTACCACACTAGTTAATAAGAGAAGAACCCATTTTAGCCGAATTGCACCCAGTCAGGAGACTCAGAGTCAGGTGACAGAATATTAACCGCTCTTAGTAGGAGGAGCGCAGCAAATCCCGAGTCCCGACACGAATGGCGTTGCGGAGCCTGACGCTGCCTCTGCCTTTCCCCGCCGTAATTCCACCATTACCACCACCTTCTTCTTCTTCGTCGTCGATGTCATCTTCTTCTTGTTTGTGTAGTTTTAGACCATACCAGTATAAACCCAATCCCGGTTGCTCTATCGTTCTCCGCGCAAAACCCATCATCTTTCTCAACCGTCGGAGGCAAAGCCATGTCGTTCGGATGGCTCCCGAGGAAGAAAAGTTGACCCGTCGCTCCCCTCTCGATTTCCCCATTGTAAGTTTTTCTTAGACATCTATATCTCTCTCTGGGTAATTTTGTCAAACATGTTATGTGCTTTGTATGCTTCTATAATTTGTTCTATTGTCTCAGTATTTGCTTATAATGCTCGGAATTTTGCATTTTTAAATCATTTCACACAATCTTATTGGGCTCAGCAGCACGAGGGCTCCTGTTTATTGGGTAGTTGATTAAGGAGCTTGCTTGAATTGGATGTCATAATTTGCAGCATTAGTATATGACTCAAAACGTAATATTTCTTTGGTTTTTTCTTTTCTCTTGTGATGAAGAAAACATAATATTTCTAAGTTCATGATACACAAGGTTTCAAGTTGAATTAATGGCGTGGTAAGGCTTTGAGAGGTTTTTGGTTTTAGAGAAAAGTTGTTTAATTAAGCAAACACTTTGTGTACTGGGGTTCAGAATACAAGGTCCAAAGCTGCATCTAACCTGAGTTTATAATTGACCTGGGACTTGGGCGGTGCCGTAGATTTTAGATCTTGATTCTTAACTAGGTCCATTCATTAAGTTTTGCTCATCTTGTGTGCATTTGCTTGCGTTGCAGGAATGGGAACGACCTAAGCCCGGGAGGAGACCGGATATATTTCCCCAGTTTAGCCCAATGAAAACACCATTACCGCCTCCACTGCCAGCGGATCCTCCAGAAGAAGATGAAGAAGAGGAAGAAAAGAAAGAGGAGGAGGAAGAAGGAGAAGAAGATCCTGAAAAGGAGAACCCAGAAAACCCAGGGCAGCAGTAGTTATGCAACGAACCGGAGGAGTTTGTGGAGCATATTTCACTAATGTGCTGCTGCTTTGTGCATTTCAAGCTTCCCAAGTGAGGCTGATATATGTGGATGTGATACTATTTGGTAGAACGAAAGATGGATATATAGAATTGAAGCTGTTGAAACAACTTTCTTGGAATAATACTAAAATGTAATGCTTGCTGCCTGATTACTTGGATATAATGCCGTTTTGATACGCAAATCGAAATAATGCTGTTCTGTGCTTTTGCTTTTCTTAAATAAGAGGGCTACAGCCGTTCAATGAGAAGCTGCTGCTTAAAAGTGATTTATGGCTTGTTTGGGAGTGATTCTAGATAGGCCAATAATCACTTTCATAAGAATCACTTTAAAGTGATCTTATGGAGAAGCTTCTTCTCATAATCGCTTAAAATCACAATTATGAAAAAGCATGGGAGGTGCTTCTCCCCATAAGTGATTTTGGCCCAAAATCACTTCCAAAACAATGTGCTTCCACCTCAAGTTTAAACCTTAATTAGGGCACTTCCACCCTTAACTTTTGCCATGGCAAAAGGGGGCCTGAGCTCCAAAAATAACTTCCATTACCTTCTGCCATGGCAAAAAGTGGGCCCATGAAACTAGGCAAATTCAAAGGGAAGACTTGCCTGGGCAAGTTAACATCATGCTGATGTCAGCGACCAATTTAAATACCAAAAAAATTTTAAAAAGAAGGAAAAAATTCAGAATTTTTTTTTTCTATAAATACCAGCCATGTTCTTCACTTCCTACACCAAAATCAATATAAATTCATCTCCTCATATCTCATGTGAATAGTGGTTATCATTGGGTTGCCATGGCAATGAGTGAGAATGCATAAAAAAAAATTTCTAAGACAGTCACTATTCATGTTATTAGTGTCTATCCTTACTTGTCCTTGTTCTTTACCATGGCACAATAAGTGGAAGTGCTCTAAGAGTCTATTTGGGAGTGCTTCTGGAAAACCTAAAAGCACTTTTAAGTTTGGCATAAAATTTTAAAAGCGCTTCTGGTAATAAAAGCGGTTTCTAGATAAGCACCTTCTATATGCTTCTTTAGGAAGCACTAAGATATTTTTTATGAAAATTAAAGATTTTTAATAATAAAAACGCTTTTGTTAGAAGCACTTATGAACAAAAGTGCTTCCTAAAATCAGTCTCAAACTAGCCCTTACACAGAATGGATATGGCTTATTTGCTTACGGGAGATGCAAAGACCACTCTAAAATTTGGAGCGAGAGGACTACAATAATTTTTATTTATTTATAAAATAAAAAAACCCACCTCTCTCGCCCGACACATGAGACAACAAATTCAGAGCAAACAAAGATAATGCTGCAAAGAAAGCTCAAGAAAGAAAACGCAGGAAAGCTCAAGATAGGCAAACTCAACTAAATTATTTAGACATAGTCATACTGTTACACACTGAAAGTCACTCAAGCGTCTAGCAGCACATTAGAAACTAGACCATCACATAAATTGAAAGATGTCCTCACAATAGTGTTTATAATTACAGCCCAAGAAAAGATATATTGCACCCCAACTAGGGGGTTCTGATAACCCTCTCATTTCTTCCCACTTTTCTTGAGCCCAGCACCTCCAAAGGATCCCTTCTGTTGTGCCTTGGCTCTAAGCTCCTTCAGTGCCTGTTCATGACAAGAACGAAAATTTAATCAATAATTTGTCAAAACCTAATAAAGGAACCCGGATACGCTAAGAAAAGAAAGAAATCCTGACCTTTTCCTCATCTTTTTTCTTCTGAAGGTTAGCCAAATCAGACTGCACGTAGCAAATAAAATTCTTAGTGCAAGGGGACATGTAACAAGTAAATTCCAGAGGCTTGCATAAGTATTTGAATAAACATTTAAGAAGAATTTAGCTGGAATAAGATTAGGAAAAACGCGGTTTGAACAGCTCCTTCAGTTCTAGATTCAAAGCATGCAGGATTCAAGATAAAAGTGCAAGGAGTCATGAGATAGCATAGCATGTGGCATGGCATAATGCCATAAAATTAACCATAGAAGATTGCTTGTGGGGCGGAAACCGCATTTTCAAGTCATACGCCTAAAACAAATGTAACCCATGCTATTAGCTGAACATTGAACATCTGCTAGTCAAAGAGATTTCCTGGGTAACTAATACTAAAAAGAGAATTTCTTCCTTTATACGCCTAAAGTAAACAACTACTCAGGTCATCACACAAATTATTGAAATTTTTAAAAAAATATTAAATTAAGCAGCCTGTTTCTACCTATTATATGGGATATTTTAGAATTCAATTTCTTTTTCAACCGCTAGAACATCTTAATATTAAGACCTCCCTATACACCAGATCAACATCAAACCCAGACAATTAAACCCATCTATTCCTACAATTATTTCCTTTTCAAAATCATTAGTAAGATCCTGAGTACATAATCGACCACCAAAGCTTCCAACTTTAAAATTCAACAATCAATTTAAACAATCATCAACAATACCTCGTCGTAGTCTTTCTTCTCGGACTTGGGTTGCTTCAAAGGCTTTGCCTTTCCACCTAAAAGAAGAACAAAAGTTTAATTTCTGAATTCAACATCCCAACAAATTAACAAAATTTTAGGGTTCTTTTCCTAGCTTTTGGATTGACACGAAATAAGAGTCAGAATTGAAAATTGAATCTACAAAAATCTGGGGTTCTCATCGTCAACGACGTACCTTGCTTGGAAGACATGGCTGCGATCTAGGGCAAAAGGCTTGGGTCGAATCTGAGAGGAAGGAGAAATTCCCAGTACAACCCTATTGCAATAATACGCACAGCCTTGCTATGACTGGTTTACAAATCATCCCTATATAATGGATACTTGCACGTGCTTCTCACGTGCATGAGTCAATCCTTTTGGTCATCTACCTCCAATTATTATTATTATTTAAAGATTTCTTTTTCTTTTTTTCTTTTTTTCTTTTTTAAAAAAGGTGTACAATTTTGTCAATTGGTTGGCGAAAAAGATAAAGGTGAATACATTTACCATTATTAGTTTTTCTGCCTTTGTGAAATTGTAGAAAACAAATTATTTAATTCAAGTTTTACCTGTTTTAAAAATTAATTGAGAGTGTCTTTTTTGGGTAATTTTTGCTGCGCAATTGAAAGGTTTAAAATGACTTGTTTTTAGAGTTTATTGTGGTTGAGAGATTGCTCAGTTGGCAATCACATTTCTTCTCTAAAAACAGGTGACAGTACTTTCACAATTCTTTATTTATTATTTCTAAATTAAGAGACAGAAAGAGAGGTAAAAAAACAAACGCATTCAATCCATCATATTCTTGTTGAATTTACAAGCGCATTAAAAAAATATATTGAACTAAAAAAAGATTTCCAACTCTTCATCATGGATTTGTTCACATCCACCATTGATTGTATTTGATCATCAGACAAATGAATTCTTGAAAGAATCATATGTGGCATGTATCTGTCCACCCCTTGTGCATGAACACACACGTATTTACATAATTACTGCATTTACCTTGCTTCTATCACTGAGATTGTTACATCATTTGTGGAGCAGATTTCAGACTTATTTTCAGCCATCTCTCGCTCTGCCCTAACTGTATTTAGGAAATATGCTGGCTGTTTTGGTGGTGGTAATGGAATGCTTTCATTTGAGAGCATGGAAACAACATCTGGCATTGTTGGCCTGTCTGCTGCATGATCTTGTACACACAAGAGACCCACATGAATGCATCTTAGTACTTCAGTAATGGGGCAAGATTCACCCAACCCCGGGTCTACTAGCTCGAATCCTCTATCTTCATTCCAGAGCTGCCATGCCTGAAACAAGTGCATGCAGTTCAGCAGTTGCATACAAATGGGAAGGACTTGATGGCTGTATGAAAATTTTCTCTTTACATATAATCTATTATGTTATGTTGTCAAATTGTCGATTTGCACGATTGGTTAAGTGAGATTTTTCTCAGACATCAAGAGAATATCACCTTGTGGACATAACCCATATTTAGTTATGAGAACTTACATATCCAATGAGGTTGAGTTGGTCCTTGAAATGATAGTTACTGTTATTTTTCCTCCCACTCACAATCTCTAGCAGTAGGACCCCAAAGCTGAACACATCAGTTTTTATGGACACAATGCCTTTCATGGCGTACTCCGGAGACATATAACCGCTGCAGTAATACAAAAAAGAAACTTAAGCAGTTGAAAAATGCAGGCATTGCACAGTACAGACAGGTAAAATTTGTGGATGCAGTACTTACTATGTCCCAACAACTCTATTTGTGTTTTCTTCCATCTCGTTCAAACCAAATATTCTAGCCATGCCAAAATCAGATACTTTTGGGTTCAGATCCTTGTCAAGTAAAATGTTGCTGGCCTTTAAATCTCTGTGAATCACTTTTAGTCTTGAATATTTATGAAGATAAATCAGTCCTTGAGCAATCCCTTCTATGACGCTGAAGCGTTTCTTCCAATTTAACACATTCTTTCTCTGATCATCTGCCTCAGGGTAAAATGTAATATCAAGTAATTGAATATCAGTGCCAGAAGTAGGAATAGCAGAAATGTATGTGCAAATTTTCTAGTGATGTGAAGGGCAAGGACTTACCAAAGAGGATGAAATCTAAGCTTTTGTTAGGCATGTACTCATAGATCAATATTTTTTCTTCTCCCTGGATGCAGAATCCTAGAAGCCTCACAAGATTAGTGTGCTGGAGTTTGGCAACAAGGATGGCTTCATTCTTGAATTCCACCAGCCCTTGTCCTGAGCTTCTTGAAAGTCTCTTTATTGCTACTTCTTGCCCATCAAGTAATTTTCCCTGAAATTATGATTCTTTTAGGGTGTACTTGTACCAAGAAAATAAACTTGGAATTTAAACAAAACTCAGGATTTGTAAAACGACATATACTAATGAAACACAACATTTTCTAATGTAAATATTGTACCTTATAAACAGGTCCAAAACCACCCTCCCCTAGCTTATTTGCTGCTGAGAAACAGTTTGTAGCAAGAGCTATTGTTTCAAAACTGAACATCTGCAACTCATTATTGCTTGTCTTCCCATCTTTCTGACGTCTTCTCCCTTCACCAAGGTCATGTAATAGGATATTGTATGTCATTCTTTGCGACCGAGAACCTCTTGCTTTGGATTTTTTCCACAGGACATAGCAGCAGGAGCAGAGTAGAGGGAAAAGAGCAGTTCCTCCTACCAAAATGGTTAGCCATATCCACCACAGCCGTACTGCATTGACAAATAGATTTCATTAGTTATGTCAAACTGGCCAGGATTGTTCTTTCCTTATTTGTTCCATTTCTGTTATAAAATCATGTTTGTAAGTAATTAAGATCAGCTCATCTATTTGAAATAAGTACTTTTTACTTAGAAAACTAAAAAATTTCTCATCAAAAGAAGTTTTGACTTCAACTCATAAACTGAAAACTAGTTACCTTTAGATTCAAGGATGTGTATCTCTCTCAGGATACCTAGGTTGTTTTGTGTGAACGTTGTCCCTTTGGTCCAAATCTCACAGCCGGTACCATCATCATTTGCAGAAGCATAAGCAATACAGGAACAAAGTTTGAAGCACTCATCCCAACAATCAATGAGAGTGAGATTCTCATTTTCATGGAACTTAATCCCATCACGAGACATGAGACCCATTTTCAACACAAATTTCTCACCGGGGCTCCTGCAGTCAGGAAGCTTTTGCTGAACACACCCATCTTTCAAGGAAGAGTTGGTGGAAGATGTACATGAAACTCCTGTAAACATGGAATCCATCCCAAAACCCCTGAGTTCACCCCCTGCACTTAGCATGAGCCTTGGGAAAATAGTGGTACCTTTATCAACTGAATAACTGAAGTATGTTTCATTCTCATTTGATATGTAGCTAAAGTTGTACTTATAATAATTGCAAAACTCATACATGAAGCTGAAGCACCCATTGTTCCAAGGCCCACTAGTCCAGTAGATGCTTCCTCTCCACCATATGACCATTTGTTTTAAACCAGTAGGGTCCAAACCAAGTGTAAACGACCCTATGGCAGGCAAATTATCAGTTCTCCATGAAGTTAGAGTCCAATTGAGGCCAGTTTTTCTGTCAAACCCCAGTTTCATTTTTGGCAAAAGTGTGCCAGTTGGATAATCAAAGCTTTGCCACAACTCCTGTTTTATAGATCCATCAGGGTTCAGTTCACTGAGCACAAAATTCCCATTGTCAAGTAGAGTAGCACTAGTATTTACTGCTTCTTGATGAACTGAATATAGCTCAATAGAATCTCCCATGTTGTATAAAATTTTCAAGTTACCATACTGATCAATTGTAAGAACTCTTGAGTTTTCAAGAATCGGATTGTTTCGGTTTGCGATCCACGCTGCCTTTTCATTGTTTCTGTTGTACCATATTCCTAAGTAAGAAGTATTTGAATTTCCAGGCTTGAAGAATCCTAACCTGAAAATCCCAGAAGCTGAAAACAGCTGCATCCCATCCTTGAGCTGTTGGCCTTGTGCTAAAGTATCAGTTTGAGAGTCAGAGGGCCCTATGAAGATTATGCAGCAGCAACACAGAATACAAAGAAGTATGAGATTCCTTTCCATGAACCTACAGGTACAAGCCTTGGCTTTGTTAAGGCAATAAGCCTTGCCTTGAATATATAAAAGTTAAAGTCAAAACAACTTTCTCTCCCCAAAAAAAAAAAAAAGTCAAAGCAACTTGTAAATTGCAGCCTCATAAATTGACTTTAAAGGGAATATAATTTAAGAACTATATGAAATGATATTTTCCATGAAAAGAGGAGGAAGTGGGGCCAACTGATTACCAAAAACACAGCAGCATGTTTTGGCTCCTTAAAATTGAGGCGGTGTACATAATCAAAATTCCATTTGTTATGCGGATGAGCTCCTCCTTAGTTTTAAGGAACCAAACTTTTTCCATTGAGTGAATGGCCGGATGTTCATGAGGAACTAGAATTCCTAGAGGGCCCGTTTGCAGAGGCGGACGGGAGGAGTGACAAGAGGAGTCATGTGACCACATGACGGCCGAAAATTTGGATGACCTTTTTGGGGTCTGAGACTCATGCATCATAGTCTTTCGTGGAAACATAATGCTAGCTAGCACCTAAATTCAAGTTCCAGTTTTATTGTTTTCTTTTTGTTTGTAAATATCCAGTTCATTCTTTCCTTATTTGATTGGTATTTAGACCAGATGAGGAAGTATGGGCCTTATATACAGTCCAAATTCCAATCAATAAGCATAAAAATAAATTAAAAATTAAAAAAAAACATAAAAAAGTTCCAAAATTTATTTTAAAACAAATAAGTTGTCACCCAATTTGCTGCACTAAGTGATTAAATTTAAAAAGAGTTTGATGACCGACCAAAAACAAAAAGGGTTTGATGACTCTAGTATTTTTTTTCCCTAAAAAATATATATATATTTTATTTTAAACATGTCTAATTTAAAATAGAAGTATATATGGATGTCGTGGTACGATGGTGCCACACTATAATTTCTCGAAAGGTAGGTGTTTAGTT